GGAGGACGCGGTCGTGCACTTTTCGGTCCATTCGAACAACGGCTGTCAGCAGTGGCGGTGACAGGGGTGGTGATGTGAGCTTTGCAAAAAAAAAAAAACAGAAAAAAAACAAAAACAGCGAAAACAATTTAACACAACACAACACACAACAACAACAACACACAGCAACAAATACAACAGCAACAACAACAACAACAACAACAACACACACACACACACACATGAGTCGCCGGTGTCCTCAATCTCCATCGCCTGCAGCAGCTCCGAGAGCGGATTTCCAAACACAACCGCCTGATTGCACCAGAATGAAGTACACACGCGCACATGACAAACCGTGCAGATTGGTGGTGGTGATTTGTGCTGTCGCACGGACATGATCACGCTTACTCAAAGCATCCGCAAGAACGCACACACACACACACACACACACACACACACACACACACACACCTCGCAGCACCAACAGCAATCAGGCCCGCATGTCACGTGAGTGTGTGTGTGTGTGCGTACCACTTTGTGCCATCACTCTGTGTCCGTGCAACGTGCACTGCTTTGTGTCAACACTGTGTGGCACTAAAATGTGTGCGTGTGTGCTCACCTTCTTCTGCGTCATGAGTTTCTTGAGGAGGCGCTGCCTGCGCTCGGTCTTGAACGTCATCGTCTTCGGCATCAGCGTGCGTTTGCTGCGCCGCCCAATCTCCGTCTCCGCCGCCTGTTGCATTGCATGGTGGTGGTGATGATGGTGATGGTGAATGTTTGCGATGCACGCATTTGACGCTGGCATAGGAAGAAGGTGGAGGATCCCTATCGCGGCACTCTGTGAGAGAGAGAGACAGACAGACAGACAGACAGATAGAGAGAGGGACAGAGAGACACACAGAGAGAGACACAGACACACACACACACAGACACACACGCATACACACGCATACAAACACAAATTCGGCCACGGCCCACGGACCATGAGTCCCGAGGAGAGCGGGGTTTGGAGGATGTGCGGAGCGGCGATGAAGCGGGTGGTGGGGCACCACTTGCCCGGCGGATGGGACGCCTTCACCGCCTCAAGCTGGATTAGTGTCTTCACTGTTGTTGTTGTTGTTGTTGTTGTTGTTGTTGTTGTTGTTGTTGTTGTTGTTGTTGTTGTTGTTGTTGTTGTTGTTGTTGTTGTTGTTGTTGTTGTTGTTGTGGCGGGTGAGAAAGGGTGTCCATGCGTCAAGCGAAGGGAGAAGGGAGATTGGTTCGGCAGTGCAAGTTGGCACAAGGAGGTCTGCCAACACACACACACACACATATCACACTTCCTAACGCCTTCCCACGCACACACATACACACATGCTATGTCTGACACGTACGCAAGAGTTCGACGCGCGTTGTGTTTCCTGTGAGGTTCATGCATGATGCAAGCTCCGCCAGCGTGATGCCGCCACACCGGTCCGCACGAGAAGGTCAAAGATCTCTGACAAAAAGAGAGGGTGGGGTGTATGATGTGTGTGTGTGTGTGTGTGTGTGTGTGTGTGTGTGTGTGTGTGTGTGTGTGTGTGTGTGTGCGCGCGCGCGGCATGGTGTGGTATGGGCGTTGTTGGGTATATGGGGAAGTAAAACGGTGGCATGCGTGACGTGCACACGACCAATCCCTTACGTCGCTCTCTTACACACACACACACACACACACACACACACGCGCGCGCGCGCACATACAGACACAAACACACACCCGCATGCTCGCACACGCACGCAGGCATGCACGCATACAAGGCAAGTACAGTGGCACGTACATGCCAGGTCTCTGTTTGGTGCTGGAAGAGGGTTGGCTTGTGCAAGAGGAACGGCATATCAGCCACAAACTGCACACATTTCGTGCGGTGACCCTCAACCTGGTGAACGCCAAGGGGAGATGAAGGCAGGGCCGGACACGAATACGCGTGGATGTGAGCGTGTGAGTGTGGATATGTGTGTGTGTATGTGTGTGTGTGTGTCACGTCGCGCACTCGAGAGTACGGCTTAAGTCACAGAAGCGTCCACCACCGATCACCACCATCATCACCAGCATCTTCAACTCACGAGTGCGGGGAACTCCCTGATGAGGTCGTGCTTGCGCAGTGTCGCAAAGTGGCGGATGATCCGGTTTGTCGAAAATGTGCGCTTCAGCACCTGTACACACACACACACACACACACACACACACACACACACACACACACACACACACACACACACGCACACACACACGCAGACACGGACAGGTACGAGAAGGGCGTGATGAACAGTTGGTGGGGGGGACATGGACAAGCGTATGGGTTGCGTGATGAGGCAATGGTGCTAGTGCACCCACAGTGCAATCAAGCGAGAGGAGAGGAAACACGTGTGTGTGCAAAGGAGAGCTCCAGCGATCATTCGCTGCAGCGATCGCATACGCACGAATTCAACGTCGTTCTTGGCGACAGTGCGGCTTTCGCACGAAAGCAGGAACCTGAGAAAGGGAACCGCACAAGTGGCCGTCACATGGCATGCTAGCATCGTGCACCACAATGTAACAACAACAGCAACAAGAACAACAGCAAGAACAACAAGAACAACAAGAACAACAAGAACAAGAACAACATACATCATCATCATCATCATCATCATCATCATCATCATCATCACCACGACCACCACCACCACCACCACCACTGCAACTGTATCGCCGCCAACGCACGAGATGAGGTCGTCCAGGGTGATGGAAGGCCGGATATGGGCGAGCGGGTGCAGGCGCGGGTAATCGTGCACACTCGCCACAACATAGCCTGAGGGTGGCGTGTTGTTCCGGTGTTGTTTGGGCGGTGGGGAAGAGGAAACGCAGAGAGAGGGGTGAGGTACGTTGTGGTTTAGTTGTCATATCAGCAACCAGACACAGATACGCACACTTAACACACACACACACACACACACACACACACACACACACACACACACACACACACACACATATGCAGCACCTTCGAGGCAGGCGAGGTCGTCGTCACTGAGAGCGCGGCGCGTGCGGCCAACGGCGATATGCTTGTCAAACATGATGAGCCATTGCTTCCTGTGGGTGTGTTTGTGCGCAAGCAAAACCGCACAACGGAAGGGGTGGTGGTGAGTTGAGTGAATGCAGATACATAATGGACAAGACACCAAGCAGCACAAACAGTACAACCGACATACACGCGCACTGGCGCCACACAGCGAGCACAGCACGATTGCGACTGACTTGACGAGCGTTTCAACAATCTTGGGCAAGCAGAAGAACGCTGGGCTCGCAAACGAGTCGACGACGCCTGCATGTGTGATGCCGTGGATGCCAGTGCGAGCAATGCGCTGCATGACTGCGTGGGAGAGGGCGGAGATGGGGGCGGTGCGGGTGTGGGACACACGTGCGCCAAACACGGCCGCTGACACGACGCTCGAAGACCCGCACACGCGCAGCTCCCAGCGGGCGCCTGGTGTGAGTTTGTTTATGCGTTTGCAGTGTGTGTGTGTGTGTGTGTGTGTGTGTGTGTGTGTGTGTGTGTGTGCGTTTGTGGGGTTGGTGTGTGTTTGTTTATGCATTTGCAGCGTGTGTGTTTGTGTGCGTATGTGAGCGTGTTGGTCAGAGGAGGAACGCAGCAACATCGGCAGCCCCAAACGTGAGTGAGCAGAGTGGACGAGGGATGGAAGCATGGGCCAGCAGATAATCAGCCAGGAGCGGTTGAGGCCACAGCTCACCTCGGACCATGCGGTGAGCCGTGGCCAAACCGTCGCGATCAACGACGAGGGACTGCATCTGGTCCAACGACAGCCGCTCGCCAAGCAGCGGCTCTGAGGCGGCAGTGGCAGTGGTGTTGGTGTCAACGAACGAAGCAGCGGCATACAGCGTTGACACAAAGCAGTACACGTTGCACGGACACAGGAGTGATGGCACACAGCAGTGCACACACACACACACACACACACACACACACACACACACACACACACACACACACACACACACACACACACACACACACACACACACAAGCAACGGACCAAGCGCAGGGCTTGGAAGGGCGCGAAGGCGGTCAGCGTCAACAACAAAGGTTTTGATGTCGCAGATGAACTTGAGACCGGGTACACCTGGCAAAGTTGCGGCGCACAAACAACGCAGCCAACATGCCAGGGGTGTGGGATCACGTGCATGCAGAGGTGCACAGCATGAAGCGCATTTTGCAGAGACACAGACATAAACCACACAGCAACACTCAACTCCACGCACACACACACACACATACACAGTCACACACAGAGCAACACGCAATTACATGCACGCGCTCGCACAGCAACACACACACACACACACACACAAAACGCATACAAAACACACTTCCTCTTTGCTCGCACCTAGAACAGAGCTTGCTTGGTGCTCCCATCGCATGTTTGGGGATTCTCTGCAAGGATAAGGGTCGGACGCAGGCGAATCCGCCAGTGCAGGCTTGTGCTTGACAATGTCGCGCACGGCACGCAGCGGCGGCGTGGGTGGGACTGGGACACCCGTGGCGCTCACGGTTATGCTGCTGCGGGCTGTCTGACCCGCTCCAATACCAGTGGAGGCGCCACCCGAGGCCTCCGCGGGATCGACGGCGACAAACACAAAGGAGTAGCGCTCCGAGTCCAGCAAGCACAGGCGCAGGATCTCCTCTGGTGAAAGGTCGTCCTCGCTGACGACAGCCAGCCCTTGGCTCGCGTGCGCGATTTGCAGGGCCCTGCTTAGCTCAGAAACGCGCAGCCCAGGGGCACCGGCCCAACCCACGTACACGGCGGTTGCCTCTTCCACGCTCATGGGTGCCAGTGGCTGTGGCATGGCCCGTGTTGCCGCTGGCTTTGTGCTTGACTTGGCAGGCATCTTGCCCGCGCTTTGCTTGCCAGCCGTGCTGCTGCTCGAACCTTTGCTGCCAGGCATGCTGGCCCTCTTTCTTCTCTCTGCGAGTGTGCGTGTGTGTGTGTGTGTGTGTGTGTGTGTGTGTGTGTGTGTGTGTGTGTGTGTGTGTGTGTGTGTGTGTGTGTGTGTGGTTGTGGTTGTATCTCAGCGCCAACAAGCAGGACGAGGTACCTGCTGTGTTGGTTGTGTTGGTTTGTGCGCAGCCTCTCTCCGAAAAAAAAAAAAACACAGCTATTGTTCGGCGCACATCGAACGCCTGCCTTCTGATTCACGGGGTTTTCGGGCTCTCTTGCAACGTATCGAGTTGCAAATTGTGGCGAAGGAGAATGGGTGATTTCGTGGATTTTTGTTTTCCGATCATTGGAAAGCACGCGGAAAGCTTTTCATGTGCCTTTTTCCTCTCGGCTGCCGCATGTGAGTTGTGTGCGCGGTGGTGGTTGTGGTGGATATGGGGGGAAGCGAGTGAGCGAGGGTGGCGTTTGGTGTGCATGTGGCTGGCCCTTGGGTGTATGGAGATGCGGATGAGAGAGACGTGAGAGACATGGAAAGAGATGCGAGATGTGGCCACGACGGCAGAAAGAGCCCGTGGCTTGTGTGGCAACGTGAACGAGCACAGCGTGAACGAGTCACCAACGCATGAAGCATGGGAGAGGCTCCATCGCAGCGTGGTGGTGGTGATGGTGGTGATGCGGAGACCTTGTGGCGAGCAAGCTTGTCGGATGCCATGCGTGTGTGTGTGTGTGTGTGTGTGTTCGTGCGCGCGTGTGAGTTGCGACACGCGAACTTGTGCGCGCCCAGCGTTCACCACACGGTTGCCGAACCACACCAGCACACACCAGCACACACGTGTACGTGCACGCGCGCCGTTGTTGTTGGTGTTGATGTTGTTGGCTCACATGCTGTCGTTTGTGGCGTGTTGGATGCTTTTGTTTGCGCCTGATAGCCTTCCCACACTTCGGCCCAGCACACCACCATGCCTCGCGTGACAAACCCCATCCTGCCTGGTGGCATCGAGCGCTATGGCCGCTCCGTTCAGGACAAGCGCAGGCGCAGGTGGAAGGTCAAGAAGGTGCGTTTGCTGGTGTCGTTGGTGGTGGTGTCGTTAGTGGTGGTGTTTGCTGTGGTTCCGTCGGCCCGAGCACGTTGTGTGCTGCACGTGTGTGACACAGCCGCCACAAACACGACGCACCCATCACATACACATATCACTATACACACACACACACACACACACGCCACTGAATAAGCACATCCACGCCGTTCTTCCCTGCTTCCATTGCATTGATGTCTCCTCACTGCAACGCTTCTCACCGCAATGTTTCTTCTTGTCTTGTCTTGTCTCGTCTTGCTCGGGCTCACAGACCACCGTCAAGCCCGCCAAGGTCCAGAAGCCCAAGACGAAGCAGGTTCCAGTTGGCGGTGAGAAGAACGGCGGCAAGCGCGTCGTTCCTGTGCACCACTCCCCCCGCTTTGTTTCTGTTGACCAGCCCAAGCGCCCCATCGGCTACAAGGTCGGCCGCAAGAACCGCCCCGCCAAGATCCGCCAGTCCCTGACCCCAGGCACTGTTGTCATCATGGTTGCCGGTCCCTTCCGCGGCAAGCGCGTCGTCATGCTCAAGGCCCTTCCCTCTGGCCTCCTCCTCGTCAGCGGCCCCATGTCCATCAACGGTGTCCCGCTGCGTCGCGTCAACCCCGCCTTCGTCATCGCCACATCCACAAAGGTGTGGTTTTATGTGGTTGTTTGCTTGCTTGTGTGCGCCTGCGTGCGGTCATTTGTTTCCGCTTCCGATAGTCGTTTTCTTTGTTTTTATTGGCCGATGTATGTTGGTTGCACACGTTGTACTTGATTTTGTTTTGTTGTTTTGTTGTTTAAACCCATCACCTATGAGCCTGCGCAGTCTCATTCAAGTCATAGTTGCATGTATGCACCCGATCCATGGGACTCACTTGATTCGCTCACGCTCATTCCGTTTCAACCCGATTGTGTGTGTGTGTGCGTGTGCGTGTGTTGTTACTACTCCGATGTCAGGTCGATCTCACCGGCCTTGAGGTCCCCGAGTGCGTGAACGACGAGATGTTCAAGCGCAACGTCAAGGGCAAGGCAAAGAAGCCCGAGTTCTTCGGCGACAAGAAGAACAAGTACGGCGAGAGGCAGATCAAGCTTCCCCAGGAGCGTGTGGAGGCACAGAAGGTCGTTGACCGCTTCCTTGTCACCAAGGTGAAGCAGACCCCACTCCTCAAGCGGTACCTTGGTGCCAAGTTCACACTTGAGAAGAACCTCTTCCCCCACGCCATCAAGTTCTGAGGTGTCTGTTGATTGTGTGCTACTTGTTTCCCCCTCGTCGACCCTCTGACTGTCGCTTCCGTGTCGGTTTCCCATTTTCCTTTTGCGGGCTGGTCGCGGCTCAGAGTAAAACAGAAATCCTTACCACCACCAAGCTGTGTGTGTGTGT